CCACCTCCCCCTGGATGATGTTGAGGATGGCGATGTAGCAGTGGTTAGTCTGGCGGTCCCGGCCTGTGGACACCATCACGTTCTTGGGCTGCAGCAGCCTCCGCATGACGTCCAGGACCGTGGTCTTCCTCACACTGGCCACCTGAGGCATGGGACAATGGGTCACAGGGGTCAGCAGGCAAGGCACCATTCAGGGACGCAGAGGAGGCAACATGTATGTCCTGCAGACTCAGAGCAGATGCCGTCTGCTGTGGGAGAAGCATCTCCATGGTTCTCAGCCCAGCAACTCCCAGGGTCCCTGTGCCATCACAGCTGATCACACGCCCTCTGTGTCACAGCAGCTGACCCCACGTCCCTCTGTGCCACCACAGCAGCTGTCCCCATGGCCTCCCAGGCCACAGGATCACAGAGCAGAGGGAAGATGGAGACATGGCAGTGAGGCCTTAGCTTGCTCTGTGCCAGTCCCTGAGCATGAGGCCTCTGGGCACTGCCATGGGAGAAGAGAAAGGCTGGTTCAGGGCCCGGCCTGGGGACCCTGATGGCTGCTCTTACTGACTGGTCCGTGGTGAGGGGGGTGTAGCCGGTCATGAGGAAGTGGAGTCGGGGTGTGGGGATGAGCGAGGCAATGAGGCCGATGAGGTCGTTGTTCATGTAGCCGGGGTAACGCAGGGTGGTGGTGCTGGCTGACATGATGGTGGACACCTGGGGACGGGAAGGCGTGTCATGGGCCTGACCTGGGCAGGACCTCCCTTTCGCAGAAGCCCTCCAGCAAGAGGGCGTCCGATGTGATGGAGTGGGGCTTACCAGCTGGTTGATCTGGGAGAAGGACGGGTTTTGGATGTGCAGTCGGTCAGTGGCTATCAGGTTCAGAGCTGTGTTGTCCAGCACCACCTGGGGAGAGAGAGAAGCATGTGGCCCGTTTATGGGATGAGAAATCACAAGGCCCACCTGAGCCCGGGCTCCCTGGCCTTGGCTTTCATGGTAAGAAAAAGCCATCTAAAAGGAATTTGTGTACATGGTTAAAAGACACATTGTAAAGGGTTCAGAAAGGCTGTATGGACATTCTAAAGAAATTATGTATTTATTTACTTATTTAACAGGCAGAAACAGAGCTGCCATCTGCTGGTTCACTCCCCGAATGCTTTCAAGTGCTGCAGGCCAAAGCTACATGATGGCAGGAGCCTATGCAGTCTGAGCCATTGATTGCCACTGCCTCCCATGGGCTGCTTCAGCAGAAGCTGGAGTCAAAGCTTGAGCTGGGCATTGAAACCGGGCACGCTAGTGTGAGACACAAGCACCTTAATGCTAAATGCCCAACAAAACTAGATATCGTAAGTGTGTGACAGGGATTAGCAGTGGGGACAGGCAGACCCCAGACTCACCACGCAGTCTGCGTTCTGGGTCAGCCTCTTGAGTGTGAGGAGCGAGTTGTAGGGCTGAACTACCACATCGCTCATCTCGTCCTGGTTGGGAAACACCGAGTAGGTTTGTACCAGCTTCTTGGGGTACCTGGTGGTGGTGGAGGGAAGGGATAGAGCATCAGTGCAGCAGACCTGAGGCTTGGCGAAGGAGCTCCCCAAAAACTATCCTGACGTTCTTGGGGTTATTGGGGTGTAACCTTCAGTACTGAACGGGAGACTTGACTTTAAAACAGCGTAGTCCCAAAGAGCAAAGGCAGAGAGGCATCTTGCTTGCTAGGGTTCCAACTGCAAAGCCAGCCACAATCCCCTGACCAAGTCCCAGTACTGGGAGCTCGGGTTCTCACAACTCACTTTCCTCAGCAGGGAGGAAACACAGGCTCTTTCTGCTGAAGCAAACAGGGAGCACCTCCGTCGCTCCAAATACAGGCTTACCTGTCGTTCAGCCTCTCCAGCAGGTAGGAGCCGAGGCCAGAGCCTGTCCCGCCAGCGATGGAGTGACACAGCACGAAGCCCTGTGCAAAGAAAGGGCAGTCAGGGCCTAGGAGTCTGGTGGCAGGTTTTCAAACTTGATCCATCTCATCATCTCATGCACTCCGATCTTCTCAAGTGCCTCCCCCTTCCCTCCCGCAATGCTGTAGGTGACTCTGCCCCATCCTGGGGAAGGCCCATGGCTTCTGTCCAGTGCACAGGGTACACAAGTGGGCCTGGTGCCTAACAGGGACTTGAGGGTGTCACCCAGCCACCAGCTCTCCTGCCAGGCTCACCTCCAGACTGTCGCTCCCATCCGCCTCTCGGTCTATAATGTCAAAGATGTCCTCGTGGATCTTCTCCCCCTGTGCAGGCACGGAGAGGGCCAGCGTGGGACAGGGCCGTGGGATGACAACCTGGGCCTTAGCAGAGCCTGATCCCCTCAGAGGCCTCCAGGTCCTTTGTGGGAGCATGGCTGCCTCACTTTTCACCTTTCTGAGGCTGCACATCACAGTGGTCCCAAGTACGCTACACACAGGTCACCTGGGGTCCTGTGCCAGCTCTTGTTCTATTAAGGGGCTGTGGGCAGGTTACTTAGTCTCTCAATGCTCTAGTTTCTGCATCTGTACAATCAGTGTAATAACACATCTCTTATCTACAATTCTTGGGGGTGGAACAGTGTTGTGGTGCTGTGGATTAAGCCACTGCCTGCAAGGCCAATATCCCATAGTGAAATGCCAGCTGCTCCGCTTCTCAGCCTGCTTTCTACTAATGCATCCTGGGAATGCAATGAATGACGGCCCAAGCACTTGGGTCCCTGCCACCCAAATGTGAGACTTGGATACAGTTCCTAGGTCCTAGCTTCAGCGTGCACCAGCCCTGCTTGTTGTGGTCATTTAAGGAACCAGTGGATTTAAGCTCATTCTCTCTCCCCCTCATATTCTGGGCAGCCTGGCCTAGCTCTGGCTGTTGGGAGAATTTGGAGAAAGAACCAATAGAAGATCCCTCTCTTTCATTGTTGTTCTGCTTTCAATAAATACATAAATTTTAAAAAAACAAACAGGGCCCGGTGCCGTAGTGTAGTGGTTAAAGTCTTCATCTTGCATGCGCTGGGATCCCACATGGGCGCCGATTCTAATCCTGGCAGCCCCACTTCCCATCCAGTTCCCTGCTTGTGGCCTGGGAAAGCAGGCAAGGATGGCCCAAAGCCTTGGACCCCGCACCCATGTGGGAGACCTGGAAAAGGATCTGGGCTCCTGGCTTCGGATCAGCACAACACCGGCCACTGAGGTCACTTGGGGAGTGAATCATCGGGTGGAAGATATTTCTCTCTGTCTCTCCGTCTCTCTGTATATATCTGACTTTGCAATACAAATAAATAAATCTTTAAAAACAAACCACAAACATAAAACGGTCTATCTCCACTGTGATTTGTTGTTGCTAAGCAAGCCCTAAGTCTTCACTGTCTGAGTTTTTTGGATTCTGAAAAGGCAGACAGGAGCCTGGGAGGCTTAAACCATTTGGTAGAGGGAAGAACTTAGAATGGCCCAGCAGATTAGTGATACTGGCAATCTATCTTTAACTCCCCACAGCCTCTCTCTCCCCCCCTTCAGTATTCACACATCCCAGAGCCCATGCAAAGTCAAAGGGCTTCTCCCCTCTCAGGGACCTGCAAGTGGTTCAAGGAAACAGCAAATGACCTGGGAGAATCCGCTAGCCCAGTTGTTGCCAGCTCCGCCTCCATGTTCGGACAGGTAGATGTTTTCTGGGTTGTAGAGCTTGGCGTAGGGAGAGTTGAGGATGGAGTGGATCACCCGGGGCTCCAGGTCCAGCAGCACGGCTCGTGGGATGTAGTGCTCATCGTCTGCCTAGGAGCAGGGGTCCAAGGAGGGGCCCTGTCAGCCAGCGCCCGCCTGGTCCTCAGGCCCCCAACCCTCGCTCATGCCCGCCCTCCTGCCTCAAGCCAGCCTGGGCAGGGAGATTTCCGGCCCTTCCCTTCAGGCCCCTTGCGGGTTGGGGAGGCCCTGGTAGAGTCACTGGGGGCACCTGGTAGAAAAAGACATCCTTGCGGTCCGTGCCCTCGGTGGCAAACTCCTCCACGATGCCCTCCGGGCTGATACCATGCTCGGCGCACAGCTGTTTCCAGAACTCGAACCCAACTGGAGGAAGAGGTAGGCGGGGAAGAAACAGGATATGTAGGGCTGGGCAGGTTCCGAGTGGGAGCCTGAAGACTGAGAACCCAGGTCAAGCTGCAGGACTCGCCTGCGAGTGAGACACAGGCTGCCTGACTGCGACCGGGCAGGGGAGGGCCCCTCGGGGAAGGGCGACGGGACCCCGGGCTCAGGGTCGTCCCACCTTCCGCACTACTACGATTCTGCAAAGGGCAGCAAGGTCCCACTGCAGCTAAGCAACCTGGCTGGTGGAGGGGCCGGAGGTTCGCTCACTCTGATTGCCGCACTGGCCCAATTGCAGCGTGATGATCTCCCTCGGCATCGCTGCCAGGTACAAGCGTTGCAGTCGCTCCCGCCAGCAACGCCGCCGCTCGCCGCCCGCTCGTCGCAGGACGCAAGCGTCTCACACCCCGCGCCGCCCGCGAACTTTCTCCGCTCCAATGAGAGCCGAGTTCTGCTTCCTCATCCATTCAGCTTCAATCCTGCGGACTGCGCGTGCGCTGCCCTAGACTCGGTCTCCGCGCACTGGGACGTAGCGTTCTCCACGCCTCCAGGGGAAACGCGTGCCGGGACCAGTGCGCAAGCGCGCAGTGCTGGGGATCCCGGCTCCTCCTCCGAGCTGCGCGTCTGCGCAGTCGGTGTTATTGTGACTGTCGGGGCGGCGGACCCGGATGCTGTGGCTGCCGCCGGGGAGATGGCGGAGCTTGAAGGGGTGGCTGCGGCCCCGGGCCCATCATCTGGATCGACTTTCCGGGGCCGCCGCGCAGTGACAGGCTTCTGCGAGCGAGACCAGCAGGTGGAGGCGGTGCAACGGGCCCTGGTGGAGGTGCTGGGGCCGTACGAGCCTCTCCTGAGCCGGGTGCAGGCAGCCCTGGTGTGGGAGCGGCCAGCCCGGAGCGCCCTGTGGTGCCTGGGGCTGAACGCGGCTTTCTGGTGAGAGACGTGGATGGACCCTCGGGAACTCAGCGTGGCGCGAATTCGTCGGGTTTCCTTGCGGGTGCTCCCTTTGATCTGCCGCGTCTTTCCTGGACGCACTGGCTGCTCTCTGTACTTGGTCTCGTTGTACCTCGCCTGCTTCGACCCCATCCCACCTCCCTGATTGACCTGCACCCGTACTCTGTCCCCGCACGCCCGGCCGGGGAGCTGCTCGCCCCGTGCTTTGGAAGGCGCCTCTTAGCTGGGACCTATGAGGACTCCACTTCCTCTTCCTTGTCTTGGATGCTCCCGTGTGCAGACTGTCCCCGGAGATGTGAGTCGCTGTCGTGGGAGTGGAGGCAGGTGTTGAAAGAGCACGGTCCCTAGGTGTGGTGAGAAAACCAGCTGGAGTGGTTAGCGCGAATTAGCAGGTGCGAGGTTTTTCTCGCCCACTCCTGGAAGTTTGTGAAGTCTGCTTCACGGTGTGAGCTTCCTGAGCGGAGATGCAAAGAAAATTAGGAGATTAAGAAAGAAGAAGAAGAACTCGAACACTTTTGAGGGAGCTATTGTGAGTTTTCAGAGCCATTTAGGATTGCAACTTGCAAGGGTAACCAGCAGGGAGATTGGGGTGTCTGATGGTGGCTGGTTGGTGGTGTGTGTATTCACAGCTGGCCTGGGGCGCTGCACTTCTGCTGAAGTATCTGTGTGTGTGCTGCTGTTTTGGAAAAACGGAGCAGCTCCTGTTGTTTGTCACTGAAAGTGGACGGAAGTGTCCATAGGATCTACCAGGCTCCTGTGGGTTCGTGAGCAATAAGGAAGTGTTAGGAATCCGGTTCCAAGGGGCACATGGGAAGCACTGTCGGTGTTAGCCTGACAACAAGGGTGTGTTTTGAAAATGGGACTTCCTCAAATCAAAGCATTTACCTTCTCTTGTTTGAAGAGGGTTTTTGGTGAGGCACAGAACACGTTCCACATTCGCTGACGGGAAGCTGCGAAGTTAACTTTGTCCCAGCCTGAAGGAAAGCCAGGTTTAAAGGTGTCCCGGCTGTCTTTGGGTGTCTTGCGTCCACAGCCCTCAGCAAACTGGATGACAACTTTTTCTTCTACAACCCTCACGTTTTGGTTCCACCCTTCCTTAACATTCCGCCCCCCACCTGCCCTGCCCTTGAACTCCGTAGCTCCTCTTTCTGATTGGCAGAATTAGAGAGAAAAGAGAGAGAAACAGAGATCTTCTATCTGCTGGTTCACTCTCCCCCCCAAAAGGCTTCAAGGGCCAGGGCAGGGCCAGGCTGAAACCAGGAGCCAGGAACTCCCTTTGCATCTCCCACAGGGATGCAAGGACGCCCGGACCATCCTTTGCTGCTTTCCCAGATGCCTTAGCAGGGAGTTGGAATAGATACAGAGCAGCTGGAACTCAAACCATTGCTTATAAGGGACCCTGGTACTGCAGATGGTAGCTTAGGCCGCTGTGCCACAGTGCTGCTCTTTTTTTTTTCCTTTTAAAGATTTATTTTTATTGAAAAGCAGATTTATAGAGAGAAGGAGAGATGGAGAGAAAGATCTTCTGCCCTATGGTTCACTCCCCAAGTGGCCTCGACAGCTGGAGCTGAATCAATCTGAAGCCCGGAGCCAGGAGCTTCTTCCAGATCTCCCATGTAGATACAGGGTCCCAAGGCTTTGGGCCGTCCTCCACTGCTCTCCCAGGCCGCAAGCAGGGAGCTGGATGGGAAGTGAAGCATCTGGGGCATGAACTGGTGCCCATAAGGATCCTAGCGCATGCAAGAAAAGGATTTGGCCACTAGGCCAATGCACTGGGCCCACAGTGCCAGACTTTTAAATGCGATTTCAAATTTTATTTGAAAGAGAAAGATCTTCCATCCCTTGATCGACTCCCCAGATACCTGCAGCAGGTGGAACTAGGCCAAGGTCAAAGCCAGGAGACCGGAACTTAACCTAGATCTCCCACCTGGGCATTAGGGGACCCAGTGCTGGAGCAATCACTGCTCTCCCCCTGTATTCTTGTTAGCAGGAAGCTGAAGGTTGAGCTGAGCTGGGATGGCCAGTCAGGAGCTTCCTGTGGGGTGCAGGTGTCCCAAGGAGTGTCTTAAACCACTGGGCCAAATGCTCACCCCTGACTGAAATGCATTTTTAAGATGTTTGGAAAGGCACACCTACAGAGAGACAGAAAGATCTTCCATATGTTTGTTGGTTCACTCCCCAAGTGGCTGTGACGGGCTGGAGCTGATCAGCTTCTTCTGAGACTCCCACGCGGGTGCAGGGTCCCAAGGCTTTGGGCCGTCCTCGACTGCTTTCCCAGGCCACAGAGTGGAGCAGCCGGTGCCCATATGGGATCCCAGCGCTTGGAAGGTGAGGATTAAGCCATTGAGCCATCAGGCTGTGTCTGCTTTTAGGCATTTAAATCGTTTCGAAAAGAGAGGAGTGTCATTGACTCAGACCAGAAAAAATCAGATCTGAAATAATGTTTCTGTCGTGAGCTGTTAGGTGTGATGGCACATCATTTGCTGAGGCATTTAGAAGCAATGGAAGACTGGCTAGGAGTGCAGAAAAGCCTGCGATTCAAGGGGATAACTTCTACTGCTCTGTTTTTCTCTCACGGTTTTCCTGTAGCTGTGAATGTGCCCCCCTCACAGCTCAAAAAAAGCTCCAGCCTGGAGCTCCTTTACCCCAGGACTGCAAGGCTCTCCTTGTCTGCCTTCAGGTTGCAGAGGAGTTAGGGTGTGTCACCTGCCACAGGTCTTGAAGCTTAGGTGACTGTGATGGCGGCTCTGTCCGTACTGTCTCTGGGAACGTCAGGGCCTGTGTTCCATTAGCCTCAACCCTGACTGTGAGTAACGGGGGAAGAATTTGATGGTCAGCAAGAGTGCATCCTGACAGGCTCAGCAAAGAACAGGTCCCGCTGACTCCTGGGTTGGAGTCCTACTGCCAGACCTGAGCGGAGGACCAAGAACCCCCAGGAACGTGGGTAAGGGGTGTGAGCTCCAAGCCGCCTTCCCATATGGCAAAGAACACCCGGAGGCTGGAAGGCTGGAAGGCTGGAAGGCTGCAAGACCCCGAGCTCCTTTCCTTGCTGTGATTTTGGGGAGCTTTGGATTGGGGGTGTGGACTGAGAGCACACCGGGGCGCTGCTGTACTGCCTGTTGGCGTCTGCTCCTACAGTCACTACTTGGAGTTAGCTCTACTAAGCTGGGAACAGACAATCTGTTTCCAACAATTGAAAAAAAGAAGTGGGTTAGGGTGAGGGGGCGAGATGTGGCTCTTCCCTCTAAAAAACAAACAGAAAAATGACTTGAGAAGCGATTAAGAGTATTCAGAAAGTCTGACTTAAAAAGTTGGAATTTGAGCGGCCAGCACCATGGCTCAGGAGGCTAATCCTCCACCTTCAAGCTCTGGCATCCATGTGGGAACCAGTTCATGTACTGGCTGCTCGACTTCCGACCAGCAATCTGCTTATACCCTGGGAAAGCAGCAGAGGAGGATGGCCCAGTGTCTTGGGACACCACACCACCCATGTTGGAGACCCGGAGGAGTCTTGAGGTCTCTGGCTTGAGATCAGCTCAGCTCAGCTCAACTCAGCTCGGCTCCAGCCATTGTGGCCGTTTGGGTGGGGAGTGAACCAGCATATGGGAGGTCTTTGTCTCTTGTCTCTCCTCTCTGTAAAGCTGCCTTTCCGCTAAAATAAATCTTTTTAAAAAGGGCGGGGGGGGGGAGGGCGGTGAGGAAGAAGAGATGGAAGAGAGGGCCCATTTAAATGAGATTTGTTCTGTGGGAGAAAAAAAGCAATTACATGTGAAACAGGTGAGCCCGATGCTGGCATTTGGGGAGCTCTGTTGCCTCTAGCCAGGATGCCTTGGCTAAGGTTGCTGCCAGGAGGAGGCTGCCGTCACTTGGCTTCGGGGAGTCCGTCCCCACGGTAAGGCTGCCACTTCTGTGTAGCGTACAGTGGGTCCTCTGGGTCCTCGGCGGCCAGCCAGTTTCATTTCAGCTTTCCTGCAAGCAACAGCTATCATTCCATGGCAGAGGTTGGCTTAATTCTTTCCTTGTAAATTACCAGTGTCTGGTTCATTAACTAGTGGCAAGTGTGTGTAATAATGGGCTGACTGTCCCTGTGGGCTGGGAAGCTTTGTTCTGAAGTGCCTGTCCGACAGGCTCACTCTGTGGGAACAAAGGGACCAAGAAATGACATCTTAGGCTGAAAACAGACATGGGTCACTCCTGATCATAACATACCGTACGTAGCTTACCTGGACAAGCGGTCTGCAATTATGGCATAATTATCCTAGAAGACACTGTGTTCGGTTGTAGCATTTCTCATCTTTTTGGATACCGTGTTGCTCCTCTCACATAGGAAGGTAGTTTAATTGGGTTAGAAGCCCCTGTTCAAGTGGAGGTTCAGTCTGTAAAAGGGGAAAAATAGCAGTGACTAGCAGTTTCATCCTCACTGGTAATTTAAAGATGCCAATGGAAGCAAGTTACTAATTTCTGCTTCTCCGGTTTGAAAATTTAGTAATATTTAATTGTGGAGCAGATACAGAAAAGTGAGCTTATGGCTGGTAGAAATATGGGTTAGGTAGCCTTGTTTGGAAAGCAGTCTGAAGGCTTATGCTAAAATACCTCAAAGGTTTCCATCTTTTCCAAGGTCAGGAAATGAGCGGTTGCTGATAGATAAGGTGTCTTTGGGTGTAACACACATGTTCGAACACCAGATAATGTATTAACGTTGAATCAGTCAGCCTAATACAGTGAGTTTTAGGGACCCCAGACTCCAGGAATAAAGGGGTCATTTAAAAAAGCTGATGCTTTTTGACCCAGTAATTCTTCAGTGTTTGTCACAGCAACAAAGATTTATGCTTTAATGAGATATACTCCAACTTTTCTTCATTATATCAGAAATTAGAAACATCTGACCTTAAGGAGGAACTTTAAAAAGAGTTGAGATGCAATCGTTTTTTAAAAGTTTTTCAGGCTTTTTTGGCAATGTGAAAAAATGTGTGTGTATTATGAAGTGAAAAAGAAGGTTTTAGGGCCCAGCACGATAGCCTAGCAGCTAAAGTCCTCACCTTCCATGCGCCAGGATCACATATGGGTGACAGTTCTAATGCCAGCAGCCCCACTTCCCATCCAGCTCCCTGCTTGTGGCCTGAGAAAGCAGTCGAGGACGGCCCAAGACTTTGGGACCCTGCACACGCATGGGAGACCCTGAGGAAGTTCCTGACTTCTGGCTTCGGGTCGGCACAGCACCGGCCGTTGCGCTCACTTGGGGAGTGAATCATCGGACAGGTCTTCCTCTCTGTCTCTCCTCCTCTCTGTATATCT